CCAGGGGCGGCTGCTGCAGGGGCGGCTGCTCCAGGGGCGGCTGCTGCAGGGGTGGCTGCTCCAGGGGCGGCTGCTGCAGGGGCGGCTCCTCCAGGGGCGGCTGCTGCAGGGGCGGCTGCTCCAGGGGCGGCTACTACAGGGGTGGCTGCTCCAGGGGCGGCTGCTGCAGTGGCGACTGCTCCTGGGGCGGCTGCTTCAGGGGCGGCTGCTCCAGGGGCGGCTGCTGCAGGGGAGGCTGCTCCAGGGGCGGCTGCTGCAGTGGCGGCTGCTCCAGGGGCGGCTGCTGCAAGGGCGGCTGCTCCAGGGGCGGCTGCTGCAGTGGCGGCTGCTCCAGGGGCGGCTGCTGCAGGGGAGGCTGCTCCAGGGGCGGCTGCTGCAGTGGCGGCTGCTCCAGGGGCGGCTGCTGCAGGGGCGGCTGCTCCAGGGGCGGCTGCTGCAGTGGCGGCTGCTCCAGGGGCGGCTGCTGCAGTGGCGGCTGCTCCAGGGGCGGCTGCTGCAGTGGCGGCTGCTCCAGGGCGCGGGTTAGGGCAGGGCACCGCGGCGGGCAGGGGTGACGTCACGCGGGTCCCGCAGGGGCGTCACGACGCACAGGAGCCGCGCCTCGCGGGTCCTGCAGGGGCGTCGCGACGAGGCAGGGGCGACGCGGCGGGGCCGCGACTGGCGACGGGGCGGGGCCGCGACTGGCGACGGGGCGAGGCCGCAACGGGCAGCGGGGCGGGGCCGCGAAGGGAGCCGCGAGGGAGCCGCGAGGGGGCCGCGAGGGGGCCGTGAGGGGGGGCCGCGAGGGGGGCCGTGAAGGGGCCGCGAGGGGGCCGCGAGGGGGCCGTGAGGGGGCCGCGAGGGGGCCGTGAAGGGGCCGCGACGGGGCCGCGAAGGGGCCGTGAAGGGGCCGCGAAGGGGCCGCGAAGGGGCCGCGAGGGGGGCCGTGAAGGTGCCTCGAAGGGGCCGTGAAGGGGCCGCGAAGGGGCCGTGAAGGGGCCGCGAAGGGGCCGTGAAGGGGCCGCGAAGGGGCCGTGAAGGGGCCGCGAAGGGGCCGTGAAGGGGCCGCGAAGGGGCCGCGAAGAGAGGCCGCGAAGGGGCCACGAGGGGCCTGAAGGGGCCCGAAGGGCCGTGAGAGGGGCCGCTACGGGGCCTTAGGGGAGCGCGACGGGCCACCAAGGGCAGGGGACGCGACGGGAGGGTAGGCACACGGGGCGCGACCCGGGCAGGGGCGAAGTGCGCTACGGGCAGAAAAAAAATCGATATTCGGTGGGCCCTAGGAAACGTTCCCACTAGGGAACCTGCTCTATACCATATTAAAGAACGAGAGATGAGTGAACTAGCAAGCAGGTGGGTACAAGTAGGAAAACCTAAAAGTGTTGTACCCCATATAGTCTACCCCACTACAGCCTACACAGACTATAGCATATGAGTTTGACATATCACGCATTTATCTAAGAGTGGCTTAAACGCCTCGTTCATGGTCATCTGAAATGTTGCGGGCGCGTTAGTCAGCCCGAAAGGCATCATCGTGTACTCAAACGACCCGTACCTAGTCCTAAATGCTGTCTTGGCGCAGTCCGATGGTTCGACCCGAATCTGATGGTAACCCCCCCGTAAGTCTATTTTCGAAAACACCCGTGCTGTTCGCAGTTGGTCGATCAGTCCGTCGGCGCGGGGAATGGGGTACCGCGACTTGACTGTTACCCTGTTGAGCGCTCGGTAATCGATGCACATGCGAAACCCTCCGTCTTTTTTTGGTGTGAACAGTATCGGTGCGGCGAACGGTGACGAACTTGGTCGAATAAACTGCTTCTCTAACAAATAATCTAACTGCTTCCTCAGTTCGTCGAGCTCGAGCTGTGTCAGTCTGAACTGGCGCTGTACAGTTGGCTGTGCCCCCGGTTCTAACTCGATCCTATGATCATGCGCCCGCTGAGGTGGCAGCCCTTCCAGTAAGTCGTCTAGAAAAATCCCCGGGTACCGTTTCAACAGTTCTTGTAGTTCGGGCGGTACTGCTGCCAACAGTTTCTGAAAATCGCTCGGCTGCTCCGCTTCTCCTACTAATGCTATATCTACTGCGTACACGTCAGCTCTAGCGGCGACAACCCGTTTCATCGTGATGGCGTTGACGTGGACCGTTGAAGTCTCGGGCGACTGCCAGCGAGGTAGCATGACCCAGTTACCGCTACTTCGCACAGTGCAGCTACCCGTCGTCCAGTCGATTCGTGGGTTGTACCGTCGTAGCCAATCACGTCCCAGTAAAACATCATGCCCATCCAATGTCGTCGCGAGCATTTCCTGTGTAAACCCGAAGTTTCCTCCGCAGCGAACTTTTACTCTCTCCACCCTCTCCCGTATGGCCAACGGCGTGCCGTCAACTAAGCGTGCGTCGATCTCAGGTAAGCAGCGACTAAGTGTCAGTTGTAATTTTCGCGCAGTTGCGGTATTAACTAAACTGTGGCTTGCTCCTCCGTCAATAAAAATCTTCACTGCTGCTCCCTGTATTTTCCCGTGGATCAGTACTGGGCAATCCGTCGTTGTACCCTCCTTATTCATCCGAGCCCGATCGATGGCGTGAATCGGTACTGTGACTCGGTGAGGGTCGGTGCGGCTGGGCGAGCAGGCAGTCTCGTCAGTAGTTGGCCCAACTTCTACTGACTGCTGGCGTTTCCCTGCCTCTGAGACTCCCTTCCCTACTCTGCTCCGCGGCGCCTTAGCTCCTCTGGGCATTCGCTCTTGCGATGGCCCGGCCTGTTGCAAGCAAAGCAGCGCCCCTTAAACGGTGCGGCAGCTGCATTCGTTGCAACAGCGTTTACAGTGGCGTGCTCGATCGGTCCCCGAGGACGATGTCCGTAGTAGGACCCCGGTCTCGGTCAGCGTATAATGTCGATTTTCTCGGCGAGCGCGAGAATCTCGTTGAAGTTTGAGAGTCCGCGCAGCATGATTTCGTGCGAGATATCCGGCTTCAGCCCTCCGACGTAACGGTCCACCCGCTCCGCTTCGTGCATGTAGCCGACCTGCTCGCAAAGTGCGAGAAAACCGCTCGTGTAATCTTGAACCGACCCGAGCTGCCGCCAAGTGCGCAATCTCTGACGCGCCGAAATAGAAGCCGCGATCGGCTCGAAGCGCACCCGAAGCCCTGCGCACCACGCATCCCACGTGCTGTATTGGGCGGTCTCGCAGAATGAACTCCAGGTGACAGCTGGGCCCGTGGGCCCTTCCTCTTGCGACGGTGGCTCGTAGGCGCGTGGCGACGTCACGATGACTCGCCACCAGTCCATGGCGGGGCCCCTTAACAGCGAAACGGCATACCGAATCTTCGCTGTGTCCGACTCGACGTAATTCGCGTCGAAGAAGACGTTCATCGTGAAAACCCACGATTGAACCGTCGGACCTCCACGCTGGCTCGGGTCGAAACAGGGCGGGCGTTGCGGCTTGAGTGGCATTGGTGCCATGATGGCCTGTTCGCCACTTGTCGCCGCGAACTCCACGTGCCGACGGGCTTCGCGAGGCTCCCGCGGGCTTGGCGCGCCCCTGTTTCCTCCCATGCCAGGCATTGGTTGGGCGGCGCTATCACTGGCTGCGCCCGAGCGCTGTCCCACGCTGTCGTGTTGTGTTGGTGTCCCGGACGAGATGACGATTGGCTCGTCCGATTGTGCAGGTGCATTTGTTGGTGCGTGTGGTGCTGCTGGAGTGTTCATCGTTGATTGCTGACGCGCGGAGTCACGTTCCGCTGTGAGCATCGCAATTTCGAGCGCCGAATCTTCGAGTTGGCGCACCAGACGGTCGAGCTGCTCCTGCGTCAATGTGGCGAGCGTGCATTCGGCCATGGCGGGGGTGTCGGGCGAGCTCAGCGAGAGCCTCAGTCGTGGCCGTGCGTGCTTACGAGAGAGCACTACGAGCGGCGGTGCTGTGTCGCTGAGGGACGTCTACCCCCCCCAAAAATTGAGATAGTGGGGAAGCGAAGGTGTGGGTGCGGTCCGAGAAGAGGTCATAGGCTCTGAATACCAAGTGTTACGAGTGCAATTGAGTGAACGAACGAGAATTGCACTATCGAAGCAAGAGTACAATGAGCGAAGGCATGAGCGAATAATATATAGCGAGACTACAGTGGTAACGGTAATGCACTGTGGTTGTCGCGCGACGGGCCTGGGACTGAGGTTGGGAAAAGTGTCGAAGCGGAGGCCCGGAGCGCGGGTTACCCGCCGAGCCGTGAGGTCGGGGTGCGACGTGCGAAGGTGGCGGGCGGATTGTCGATGCGAGGATTGCGAGTGGTAACGGTGCTGACTGTGGTGCTACAGTGATGTACGCGTTGAGCAGGGACGCGAAGTAAGGAAAAAGAGATTTTCCTTACACTGTCAAAGCTGCTTCACGAGTTCAAGACTTCCATTCTCGGCCAAATCCACTGAGTTCATTTCCGCTATTGCGGCTCTGCGCTTCATTGTGTCAATGAAACCATTCAAAGAAACCGTTCAGAATGCAACACAGCTAGACAAAGTCGTTCATGATAATCTACAAATAGGTATATGCTCACAAAAGGGGCATAAGAAATGCCTACAATCCTCAACAATCAATACACACCTTTGCAAACCAACATCCAATGATCCAAACAATACCGTAGTTTGGCATGAACAAGTAGCAGCACCAACGGTTATTTGAAAATTTGAACAGATAAGTGGTGAACGAGTTGAATCCTCAAGCAAACAAGGTGAGGTGAGTAACCGCAGCCGCCGTTGCCGCCGCCGCATCCGTCCTCGTGGTAGCAATGCTGCGGCCCTTGTGGGGCCCAACCATGCCAACAAACTCAAACGACCGCACTCGCTGGTGGTGGTGGTGGTGGTGGTGGTGGTGGTGGTGGTGGTGGTGGTGGTGGTGGTGGTGGTGGTGGTGGTGGTGGTGGTGGTGATGGTTGTGGCAGTCACCAACACCCAACCCCCCAGCATGACTCGTCGTGCCTCTGGCATTTTGCTCACCTGCAGCCACGCACGCTATGCTCGTGTCCGGTTCATTACTGGGTTTCACGCAATGAAGGTGGGACGGTTTTGAGGCAGAAGGCTGGTGGGATGGAGGGGAGTGGGAGGAGTGGTGTCGGGAGGGGGAATGGCAGTAGGGCTGTCCACCACGTGCCGCTGCGCCCTCCCTGCTGCCAATATGTTTGCCACACACTTCATCCTTGCCCTCCTCTTCCTCTTCCTCCTCTTCCTCATCTTCCTCCTCTTCATCCTCTTGCAACTCCACCTCTACCTCACCCTCCTCCTCACCCTCCTCCTCATCCTCCTCCTCACCCTCACTATCCCATGTTCCCTTGTGCATCATGAGCACCCCCGGCACACCACGCGCGTCACCACAATCATCACGCTCGTTACAATCACCCCTCAGAGCATCGTCGCCTCCCATCCACCGTAGACTAAGATCGTTACCAAGCTCCCCTCTTGCAGCAATGTCAGCACTGACAGCACTGACAGCACTGACAGCACTGACAGCACTGACAGCACTGACAGCACTGGCAGCACTGGCAGCACCGGCACCATGAGTGTCAGCACCGTTGCCATACACCACTGAACCACTCACTCCGCCTAGCCCATCTGACCCCACTCGCCCCTTTCCCTGCCCCTGCCCCTGCTCCTCCTCTTCCCCCTGTCCCTCCTGCTTGCCCTGCATGTGCACATGCCCATGCCCAGTATGATACCACACACTGCATGCCGCTGCTGCTGCCGCCACCACCACTTCTGCTGCTGCTGCCCCAGAGTCCACCCACTCCCCCCCACCCATCCACGCACCACCCGCCGCATCACCACTCCCCAAAACGCCCCCATCCCCTCTCCCTACCCCCATCATGCCACCCACACGCTCGGCTCCACCCATACCCACGATCACTCCCTCCCTCCTCTGCCGTCCCTCATACCCCTCACACGCCTTGCTTCCTTCCCACCCTTCCCACGCGCCCTCTCTCCCGGCTTCCAGAGCCTCTTCTCGTGTGCCTCGGGAGAAGAGGCGGGTGAAATCGCCAGTGCTGCTGGCACGGTGGTGTGCGGTGAGGGCAGGCCGCGGGGCACACAGCTCTATCTTGCGCCACCGGCTGCGCTGCCTGCGATGCCCTGCTGCAGCTGCTCCTGCTGTGGCTGGGGCCGCCTGTTTCTGCTGCTGCTGATTCTGCTGCTGCTGCTGCTGCTGGGTCGGTGATGGCAGTGGCGAGGGCAGAGCAGGGGCAGCGACAGCAGTGGGGGGAGTATTGGGTGCAGAGGGCGACGTGTGCAGCAAACCACGAGCACAGGGGTGTGTGTGGGGTAGAGTGGGAGTGAGGGCGTGGACGGGAGGTGGGCCAGAGGAGGTGCGAGGAGGAGGAGAGTTGGGTGAAGGGGTGCCAGGAGGGAAGCATTGGAGGGCAGCCACACTCCCGCAGTGCGATAATGAGCCTGCATGAGATGCACTCTCCCGTTCCTTCTCACTCCCTTTCTCACCCGCCATCTCTCTCTCTTTCTCACTCCCTTGTATGCCTGCACTGGTAGTTGCTCCTGTGGAGATCGCATGCACGGCCAGCCACTCTCCACCTCCTGACCCTCTGGAACTGGTAAGGTCAGCAGCACCAGCAACAGCAGCAGCAGGACTAGCATTAGCACAAATGGCAGCAGAAGCGGGAGAAGAGGCGGCGATGGAAGCAGCAGCAGCGCCAGGGGGGCTGAGGGAGCGCAGGGCACACAAGGGGAAGCGCAAGCGGCGATGCAACGCCGCGCCTTTTCCACCACCACTGCCACTAGTCCCCCCGCTGCTGCCGTGCTTGCTGCGGGTAGGAGAGAGGGAACTGCGAGGGGAGGAGGGGGAGGTGGAGGAAGTGGAGGAGGTGGGAGCAGGGGGAGCAGGGGGAGCAGGGGGAGCAGGGGGAGCAGGAGTGGCGGGATCTGCAGGGCCAAAGTACCTGGGGCTTGGGACAGTGCGGCCAGGGCCTGGGGTTCTGCTGCCACCCCACACACCACCGCTGCTTTTGTTGCTGCTGTTGCTGTTACCTGTGGCGCTGTTACCGCTACCGTCGTTTCTGCTGCTGCTGTTACTAGCACCGCTACTAACGCTGCCGCTGGTACTGTTGCCATTGCTGCTGTGGAGTGAGGAGCTGCGTGGTTGGGGAGTGAGCAGGGGGCCAATGAGGCCCCTAGCAGCCGGGACCTGCATGTCAGACGTGGGAGAGGCAGTGGGGGATTCCCTGGCATGCAGTGACCCTGTCATGGGTGCAAGAGCAGGGGGGGAACAGGGAGAAAGGGGGGGACTCTGTGAGCGCATGTCGGGTCAGCAGTGGCTCTTCCGTTGACAGGCAAGAGGGTGTTATGAGTGCGAGGGAGGTGGGCGCACAGGGAGGTGGGTACAGCGTGCGCTCATGCTCACGCCCAAGCCTGTGCCTGCATACCTATTCTCAACCACACCCATACCCACACCCCCCACCCCATCCCCACCCCAGCACCATCCACCCCAGCACCATCCACCCCAGCACCATCCACCCCAACACCATCCCCACACCACCGCACCCCAGCCCCCACCCCAACCCCACCCGCATCCCCACTCCCAAGCGCACCTGTTCCCAGCGCTGAGGGAGCTGCGGAGCCCACAGAGGCGCCTCTGGGGAAGAAGCGCGCAGCACTACGCGCGGAGCGGGGCGACTGGTGGGGGGAGGGGCGCGCTGAGCTCGACCGGTGGTGGGAGGAGTGCGGGCGAGAGGACCCCGGGGCAAGGAAGGCCCTGGGGACAGAGGGCAGACGCAGGGGATGCAGCTGACGGGGGGGCGGAGGCGACGAGGAGGAGGGAGTGGGGGAGGAGGAGAAGGTGGGGGAGGAGGGGAGGGTTGAGGAGGAGGAGAGAGTGAGGGAGGCGGGGGTGGGGGAGGAGGAGGAGGAGGGGGAAGGGGAGGTGGTGGTGCTGGCTGAGGGTCGGCAGAGGCGGCGCAGGAAGAGGTTGCTGCTGCTGTCACTGCTGCGCCGCACATGCATCATTCCATGCTGCTGCTGCTGCCGCTGCTGCTGCTGCTGCTGTTGCTTCTGGTTCTGTTGGTGACGGTGGTGCTGCTGGTGTGTCTGACTGGCGCTCCCCTTGTTGCTCAGATTGCTAATGCTGCTGCTGTTGCTGCTGCTAATGTTACCACCTACGCTGGAGCTGCTACTGAGGCTGGTTGTGATGCTGCAGCTGCTGCTGCTGCACGTGTGGCTGTGACGGTGTGCGTGGAGGGGAGGGTCAGAGACTGCTCCCCCTCCACACCGTCCTCCTCCCCACGCTTCACACGCAGTAGCTGCACCCACGGTTGCAGCAGCAGCGGCGGCGGCGGCGGCGGCAGCAGGTGCAGAAGAAGAGGAAGCAGGAGAGAGACCAGAAGTTTTCGCAGAGTCATCTGCAGGGGAGCAGGTGGCAGGTGAGACGACTGCACCTGTTCCGCGCCCACAGGACGCAGCAGCAGGAGGAGAGAAATAGTCATCAGCAGCAGCATCGGCAGAAACAGTCAAAGGCTGAGGAGAAGAGCCGAGTCTCGAAGAGGACAGGCTAGCCAATTGCGTTGAACACACCTGCTCCTGCCGTAACTCACTGCGTTCTCTCCCTGCTTCTGCGTCCCAGTCGGCTGCTGTGCCTCTCTCCGCCCCTTCCCCTTGCTCACCCCTCTCCTCCTGCAGCAAGGCCCTCATCTGCTGCTCCATCCTCACTCTCCTAGCCTCATCCAGCCCCCCCTCGTCCTCCTCCTCCTCCCCCTCCTCGTCGTCACTATCGACACTCCCAAACCCTAGATCCTCCGATCTCCTCTGATTATGCACCGCCTCCCTCTCCTCCAAATCTTCCACTTCTCCACCTTCCATATCCCTCAGCTGCTGCCCCTTTGGCCCAGCACCCTCCCCACTCTCCCCTCCCCAATCCAGGGATCGGATTTCATGACTTCTCAGCCGCAGGAGGGAGCCTCCCACCGCACTGCACTCCGCATGACTCCACTCCACCGCACTGCCCTCCCGCACACAGCTCAAGTCATCCGACCCGGCTCGCTTCTTCCCACTCCTCCCGCTCCTTACTCTCTCCCTCTCCCTCTCCCTCTCCTCCGTGCCTGCTCTCCCCCCACCGAACCCCTCTTTCCAGCTGTGCGCTGTGCGCTTCAGCCGACCCATGATTGCCCGCCGTAGGTTACGCCGCCCTTCCGCCTCCCGTGCCAGCCCTGCCGGCCCTGACGGCCCCGCCGCCCCTCCAGGCCCTTCCAAAGCCTCCCTCCTCCGCCCTGCCTTGCTCCCGGGCCTGACCAGCGCAGTCTGGTTGTGCGCGCTGCTGCTGTCTGCCCGTGTGCTGGCAGCGGCAACAACAGTGGATTCTGATTCAGCAAGTGTGGCAGCAGCAGCAGCCGCAGTAGCAGCAGCATGGGGCCCGTCTCGAGCGGAAAAGAAACGGTCACGGGCAGGGGGACCATGATCATACACATCCTCATCCTCATCCTTCTCCCCCTCCTCTCCCTCATCGCTATCCCACGCTGCCAGCAACGAGCTTCCAAACACCGCCCTCTTGGTGCACGAAGACGCGGCAGGGAGAGAGGTGGAGGAGGAGAGCGAGGAAGAGAGGGGGAGAGAGGAGGAGGGGGGGAGGAAGGACGACACAGGGAGGGAGGAGGAGGAGGGGAGCGAGGAGGGGTTGGGGAAGGGGCACGAGTGGGGAAGAAGGGAATGGGGCACGGGGGCGGAGTAAGGAATGGGGGAGTAACCATTGGCGCAGTCAGCCGAGCTTGTTTGTATGGAAACGCCAGCAGAGCAACCGCTGCCACCACCACCACCACCGCCAACACCACCACCACCAGCATCGCCACCTAACGGCAAGCAGCTACTATTGGAAGGCCATGACTCCAACTCTCCGCGCGGGTCCTCTGTCCAGCCCTGCCAACTTTTCTTCCTGCCCAGCGGGATTTTTTTCTCCTGCCCGTACTCCCAGTCCCTGCTCTGTAACGGACCTGACCGCCCCCTCAACGGTGTTCCGCCCTGCACCGCCCGTTGCGCGGGATCCACTTTCCGCGCGCCTCCCCATCCCCCCGCGTCCGCGTCCCCGGAAGCACTCCGCGGTCTCCCCCCGCGCGCTTCCCCCCAGAGGCTCCGCCAGGCGGCGTGCGCGTCCAGCAGCACGGCGGACACGCGCAGGGGGTCGGTTTCGCAGAAGACCTCGCGCGGCGACAGGTGCTGCGCGAATAGCGGCTCTGGCGGAAGCGGGGAGCCGAATAGAGAAGCGGGGAAGCGGAAGAGGGAAGCGGAGCGGGAAGCAGAAAATATAAACGTAAGGAGGAAGTGCAAGGGGGGCGGAAACATGAGGCGTGATAAAGGAAGCGGTGTCGCGTCGAGGGCACGAAACGAACACGCAGACTGGCACAAGAGGACCGACTCCGCAAAACGCCCCATTTCAGTGCGGTGAGGTGCGGTACACCGGCGCGAGTCATGCACAAGTGCGCGTCGTGTCGCCAGCTCGCGCGAGCATTGACACCGCCAACGGCTATCGCGACCTGCCAGCGGTTATCGCGACCTGCCAGCGGTTATCGCGACCTGCCAGCGGTTATCGCGACCTGCCAACGGCGGCGCTCCCAACATCGCCGCGTGACTAGCCTCCACAGCAGGCAACGCGGCGGCGATGATGCTCCTCCACATCGCTGCGGCCCTACATGGTCCAGCAGCAGATTACTAGTCGCACCTTGACTCGATTGCTGCGACTTGAGCCACTCCCGTATCTCTCGCAGCACCACGCGCAGAGGCGCACCCCGCCTTCGCCTCCGCTCGCCGCTGCGCTCCCCATCCTCGCCACCCTCTCCGTCCCACCCGTCCTCCCACTCTCCCCCGTCGACTCCCATTCCCCCTTCGTCCCCTCCCCCATCCTCTTCCCCCTCCGCCTCCCTTTCCCCCTCCCTTTCCCCCTGGTCCTTCCCGCCATCCATCCTCCCAGCCTGATAGCGATCCCCGGCGCGGCGCTCGAGCGGCGCAGCGGCATCGTCGCGCGCCACGGCCACAACGGTCCACAGAAGGCGGCCGCTCTGCCTGTCCTGCACGCCCATCGCAGCTACCGCCTCCACCGCATACACCTCCCCGATAGCGCGCGCGCGCCCCCCGATTTCCACGACTTCCACCGGCCCGTCAGACGCGGCTGCGGAAGGCGCGGCGTGGGTTGCGGGAGTTGCGGGCAGCGAAGCGCGGCGCGTGATCGCTCCCCTGCTGCACGCGCTACTGATTCCGCTTTCTCGCGAGGAATTGGTTTCTGGCGAGAGGAAGTAGTTTAGTGCAGAGGGGGAGGGAAGACCAGCTTCCGCCGCGGACGCGCGCCGCGCTGCGGATGTTTGCGGAACGATTCCGCAGTTCCAGGGGGAAGGGCGCGGGAGCTCGACAACTTGCCACGTGTCGGCGCTACCGTTACTAGTACCAGACGACGCTTCTGTTTTTTTCAAGCAATGACGCAGAGGCTCTAACCTCTCTTGCGTTGCCACGTGGCAGTCAGCCCAGGCGCCCTCCGGGGTCGCGCAGACGACGTGGAAAGCACCTGAGGCGGCCCGGAAAGGAACACCGTGCCACGGAGAGACTTCCCGACCCGCGTTGTTCGTTAAAGTCACGCAGAAATTGGAGGTACCAGGGGAGCCATGGCAAAGTGGAGAAAATTCAGCCATTAGTACGACTCTTTCGTTTAGGTGGAATTCGTATGGCTCCTAAAAGCTTCTCGTTCTTTCGTCCTGCCCACTCTGTTGGTAACGAGTGGCTATGCAATCCTGTCCTAGCACTATTCACTACCACAATGCAACGGGGAAATTAAGAGGAACCGTGTCTAGCGCAAAGCGACTGCCCGTGTCTTTCCAGATACAGGATTACTCAAAAGACTCCTCAGGAGGAGGGACAGAAAGAGGGAGGCGTTGTCTGAGGCTCTGACTGTGATCAATTCATTCGGGAAGGTATTTCTCCCCCAGTTTCCACGATGCTGGCACTCGGACTGAAGCGGCAGCAAGTGAGGAGCGATTACGCTGCTGCTCCTGTGACCTGTCAGCACGGATTTCTTTCCTTTTCATCCCCACGCGTCGCGTGGCGTTCGTTCATTCTGTACAGTACACTGCCCAAAAGAGGTGTCACTGAAACGCAGTGCACCGTACTAAAAAAAACAGAAACGCAATGCACCATATTGTGCCACGATCCATCACAGAATCACTTGTAATCTTTGTCCTTGCCGCCAGCTCATCCAGCACCCACTCGCCCATCCTTTCGAGGAAACCGGGAAGCACACGCAGAGAAACAAAATGCCTCGGTGTAGTGTGTTTCTGTATGGTACTATACTATATCGCTGGAGGGTGGTTCTTTGGAGCCGAAAAACTGTACTGATACTGTACAGTAACAACACCACAACGGTGGGTGGGCAGGATGACGCGGGCAACAGAGAACCGAATGACTTGTCTCTAATTGGCCAAAGCCCTAGCTTCTGTAACTTCGCCATCGCCACACTGTTCGGTTCAGTTCCGTTTCCTTCCCTGCTTGGTCTTCAGTTCCAAGGTTCGCTTCGCACCCACGATTGGCCTGTGGTCCAGCTGGCACCATTGAACGGTTTTTGCAAACGTCGGCGTTACGTTTGAATGACGGTGGAGCAGTCAACAACGTCGAGCTGGATGATGAGCTGCGGCAACTGAAACCCCTTATATTGCCTCGCGGCCACTATCATTCCTTTACTTGCTTGGTTCACAACCCGCTATCAACGGCCATTTTCAGGTGCATGCAGCTTAGTCTAGGAACTGTATTCATGTGCATGCCATGTTATTGGGCAGGTGTGTACACGTTAAGCAGCATATAAATTTGTTATCCTAAAAGTACACGCTTCCCAAGATTCGTTTCAAATTAGCACAAACAGTCGAGAATAGGTGCAATTTCGGATTACGCAAAGCGAATTCGGAATGATAGGCTCTCGATTCTGCATATTCTGACGTCACCAGTTGCAATCATTGCATGTTTACCTAGTTTCAATGCGAATTTCTGCTTCGCCCCAACTCTTCTTGAACAAAATTAAATGCTAGATCAGCTGTACCGTTGACGCGGGTGGCGACCGCTGCGCATGGCAAATCAACATTTTTTTCTTGGGCGAGCAGAAATTTGGAGGGGTAATCCCAAACATGAGAATTTTGCCCGACTGTTTGTAAAGTTTGCCCCTACAAAAAAAATATGCATACGGTACATGTATATTTTGATTGTTGGGGTACCTTAGCTTTCTTTACTTACCATTTATAATACTTGTAGCGTATATATTTTATAGTGGTAGGGGAAACTCTATTAGATTGGGCAGGTTTTTTACGTTTCGGGTTACCCTTTCCTAATTTCTGCTCGCCCAAGAAAAAAAATGTTGATTTGCCATGCGCATCGGTCGTCGCCCGTGTCAACAGTACAACTGATTTAGCATTTGAATTTGTTCAAGAAGAGTTGGGGCGAAGCAAAAATTCGCGTCGAAATTGGGCAAACATGCAATGACTGCTTCTAGTGACGTCAGAAAATGCAGAATCGAGAGCCACCGCCGGTGCCGCCGACAGCAGGCAGCCACCGCCGCCACAGCCGGGGCCGCATCCGCCGCAGCAGCCTACAGCAGCAGCAGCCGCCGACGGCAGCAGCCGCAGCCGCCACAGCCGGGGCCGCAGCCGCTGCCTGCAGCTGCCGTCGCCGTCGACAGCAGGGGCCGCCGCCGCTGCCCTGCAGAGCGGAGCGGCGCTCCTCTACCGCCCTGTAGCGGCCCCGTCCCTGCCGACGCGCCTCGGCCCTGCCCCACCACTTGCGGCACTCTACCCACCTGCCCTGGTAAGAGCACCACCGAGCCGCGCCCCTCCTGTTGCTACTGCTGCTGCTGCCCCTAGCCTGCTGCCACTGCTGTCATGGCTACCCCTAGCGTTCTCGCCTTTGATGCTGAGGGTCGGGCTGTTGACTTTGAGGTCTGGGTTGATGATCTACAGCTTTTCCTACAGTGCGATAGGAAAGACGGTCTCTCACTGTTCGATCTCACGTCTGGCGCCTCTGCTGCCCCTACTGCCGATGCTGACAGCACTGTTCGCTCACAGTGGGCCACACGCAATGCTGCTGCCCGTCTTGCTGTGCGTAGTCACCTGCCGTCCACTGAGCGCGCGCACTTTAGTCAGTACAAGAGTGCTAAGACCTTGTACGACGCTGTAGTTGCACGCTACTCTTCCCCTGCCACTGCTGCCCTTAGCCGCCTCATGCTGCCGTACCTGTTCCCTGACCTCGCCGCCTTTCCCACTGTCGCTGACCTCATTACGCACCTTCGCACTAGTGACACCCGCTACCGCGCTGCGCTTCCTGCTGAGTTCTGCGCCAAGAACCCCCCCCCCATGTACATCACCCTCTACTACATAGTCACCCGGCTCCCTGACTCCCTTCGCTCGGTCAGGGACCACTTCCTCTCTGTTTGCCCCACCACACTCACCGTTGACCTCCTCGAGGAGCGCCTCCTAGCAGCTGAGAAGAGTATAGTCGCTGTAGGAGCCTCTCGTGGTGACCCTCGTGCCCCCTTCTTTGAGGGGTGCTTCCCCTCCCCCCTTTTGCCCTCTGTTGCCTCTGCTGCTGCCGTCGACTTCGTTGGCACCGAGTCGGTCGGCGCTGCGTCTGCCCCTAGCGGGAGACGCCGCACCGGCAAGGGCAAGGGGGGCAAGGGAGCTGGAGGGGCTGGTGGGGGCGGTGGAGGTAGCGGTGGAGGCGGCGGAGGGAGTGGGGGTGGCGGTGGGAGTGGTGGCGGGGGTGGGGGCTTCGGTGGCGGCGGTGGAGGCGGAGGCGGCGGCGGCGGTGGCGGTGGGAGCGGAGGAGGAGGCGGTGGCGGCGGTGGCGGAGGTGGCGGCGGCGGAGGTGGAGCTGGTCGGGGTCGCTCTGCGCAGCGGAGCGACTTCGGTGGTGGTCAGCGCCAGCAGCAGCAGCGCACTCGTGACACCCCGCCCCCCCAGCAGCTTCGTGAGTGGTACGCTGCGCGTCAGCGGGGTGGGGGTGCTGGTCCTTGTGCCTACGTCCTGCGTACCGGCGACCGCACTGGTGAGCAGTGCGGTGGCCCGCACACTACCCAGCGCTGCTTCGGCCGCCTGACGGACGCTTGGCGTCTCCAGTTCCCTGACGCCACTGAGATCCCCCGCTGGGGTGAGCTGCTTAGGTCGGGGGTTGCTATCTTTGATCTGGATTATGATGCCATTCTTGCCGCCATGTATGTTGTGTCTACTAGTGATGAGGGTGACTGTTACCTGTGTGTCCCGCCTGACCCGGGCATTGACGCTGCTGCTCTAGGTGCTGGTGAGGCTGCTGCTCTAGGTGCTAGTGCGTCTGCTGCCCCAGGTACTGGTGAGTCTGCTCTCTCAGGTACCACGTCGGCTCAGGCCTTACACTCCTTCACCCTTGACTCGGGTGCTTCCCGCTCCTTCTTTCGAGACCGCACCACGCTTACGCCGCTTAGTCGGCCAGTTGCGCTCTCCCTGGCGGACCCCTCTGGGGGTCCTGTCCTTGCCCGCTTCTCCACTGTCTTACCGTGTCCGGCGGCCCCCTCTGGCACCCTGTCCGGTCTCTACCTCCCCTCGTTCTCTACGAACTTGGTGAGTGGTGCTGATCTACAGGATGGGGGGGTTGACCAGTTCACTCCTGCGAGTCAGCGGGTGACCCACTGTACGTGTGCTCGGACGGGCCGACACTTGGCCACGTTTACCCGTCAGCCGGGGTCGAGCCTGTACACACTGACTACTGAGTCTCCTCCGGTTGCTGAGTCTGGTCAGGTAGCTGCGTCGGGTCAGGTGTTTGCTGCGGCGTCCAGGTCTGGTCCTGAGTCTGCCCCCTGCTCGTGTCGTCTCCTGTCCCACCGGACTCTCCTCTGGCACCACCGCCTTGGTCACCCCTCCCTGCCTCGTCTCCGAGGCATGGCCTCCCGTTACCTTGTCTCTGGTCTCCCCCGGTCCCTCCCTCCCCTCCCTCCGGGGCCTGCCCCTACCTGCGTTCCCTGTGTCGAGGGGCGGCAGCGTGCCACCCCTCACTCCTCTGAGTTTCCTCCGACAGAGGCTCCGCTGCAGACTCTTCACATGGACGTGTGGGGCCCCGCCCGCGTCCGTGGCCAGGGTCACGAGCGTTACTTCCTGTTGGTGGTTGACGACTACTCGCGTTACACCACGGTGTTCCCCTTGCGCAGCAAGGGTGACGTCACTGAGGTGCTGATCGACTGGATCCGCGCGGCTCGTCTCCAGCTCAGAGAAAGTTTCGGCTCGGACTTTCCTGTTCTGCGTCTGCACTCTGACAGAGGCGGGAAGTTTTCCTCTGCCCTTCTGGGAGCCTTCTATCGTGCACAGGGCATCCGCCAGATGTTCACGCTTCCCGCCTCTCCACAGCAAAATGGGATTGCTGAGCACCGCATTGGCATGGTCATGGACGTCGCTCGTACGTCCATGATCCATGCGGCTGCTCCCCATTTTCTGTGGCCGTTTGCGGTTCGGTACGCAGCGCATCAGTTCAACCTTCAGCCCCGGGTCTCCTTGCCGGAGACCTCCCCCACCTTGCGGTGGACGGGGAAGGTTGGCGATGCGTCTGCGTTTCGGGTCTGGGGATCTCGGGCGTTTGTCCGCGACTTGTCTGCGGACAAGCTGTCCCCCCGTGCTGTTCCCTGCGTCTTCCT